AAACCCTAGACCCCCCAACCCTAAACCCCAAAACCCCAAACCCCTAAACCCGAAGACCTAAACCAGAGACCCGGACCTCCAAACCCGAAGCCCAAAGGGTCTTAGATACAGTTCTTGGGCATAACTTTCCCAAGTTATGATACTCAATCCTACTATCGAAGAACGGTTTCGGGTTTAGGGTCTAGGGGTTAGGGTTTAAGGATTATGATAGAAATTCAGACTATCGGATCCTGCATTGTACAAACAATGTACGTAGGACTCTAAACCCTACACCCTCATAGTACCCTGAAAGAGGCCGTTATGGGACCTTTGAACGGTGGGTACTTAGGACGCCCCATAACAATGCCCCTATAGATCCCAGAAAGGAAACCCTAAACCCTAAACCCCTAAACCCTAAAGAAACCCTTAAAGGGACCAGGGACCCCTATAGAAGGAAACCCCTAAAGGTTCCGCACCAACCATAGCCGCAACGCAGCCATCGACAGATCCAGCTGCCGAGTGGCGTCGCTGCCGTCGTCCGATGGAGTCACGTAAACCTCCTTGACATTGGAGAATTACGGAGAATTAGAGGTTTAGGGTTTAGGGATTATAATCTGGGGTCTAGGGTGTGGGGAATTAGGATTTAGGGTTTAGGGATTCGGGGTTTTAGGGCTAAGGGTTTTCGGTTTAGGGTTTGGGCTCTGGGGAAATGAATTACGGGTTAGGCCTCACGTCGGTTCTGTCAAGTAACAGTTCGTTTCATTAGTTGCCCTGAAAGCTACACCGTGAATCCTAAACCCTACGCAAAGAAAGCTGGACCAGAAATCTTAAAGGGCCAGCGGCTCGCCAAATTCCTGAACATCGAAGATATGCCTGGTGTGATCTCAGATCTCAGATCCCCTTTCAATTACCTCATACGGGGCCTTCATAATTGAAGTATAGTTGCGAAGACTGTCGTAGTATGTCTAGGTGGTTGTCAAAATGATGGTCCCTTTTTGGGTCCTTATTATAATACGGCACATATTATTTAGGGTACCCCCAAAGGGACCATAATTTTGACAACTACCCATCTATAACTTGAGGGGAGCCCTAAAGAATAGCATGACTGTCGGCTCGAGTAGGGAAGTAGGGCCTGTCGCGATCTAGGGCCAGGGCTCTAGGGAGTTAGGGTTTAGGGTTTAGGATCTAATTCTTCCTGTGGTGAGGACCCATGGAACATCAGAGTGTCGATTGCAGGGTTTAGGGCACGATATTCCAGTGGCCTGCCTTGCGTCCCTTGATCGCGATCCTCATAGCCTACATGCGGCTCCAATTGCCCAAGCCTCAGGAATCTACTGTAGAAATGAAGGGGTTGATATAAGAGTCTGAAGAATTATCTACTAAATTGCTCTTTAGGCTCCTTACTCTCACTATATACTACAACGGTCCCCAAAACCCTATTCTATTTAGTAAGGCCCCTACCAGACTGCAGCAACTGAAAGCCATCCCCTAAGCGACCATGTAAGCAACTCGTATATACAGTGACTACAATAAGGCCACAGTACCGAGAGGGTCCATGCATACAACTAGTGGTATGGAAGTAGGTTGCTCCAAACCACGATTAGAATGGTCTTCTGGGCCTAATTCCAAAAACGTAGAATCTGTTGACCCTCCGGGGTATATACTGCTTGAACACTAAGGGATAAGCTAAATCAGATCCAGGATTAGCAACCTTCTCAACGATCCGAAACTTAGCCTCCATATGTGGCCGACTTTTCGGAGTCACATAGGGATGCTTACGAACAAGATCCTAGCCCCAAAACCCTAAACCTTGAAACATACTTCATGACGCCTCTAAGAACCCCATGGAGGGCCCTACGAACAAAAACTAGGTTGGCCCAACCTGTGACAAGTATTGGTACATGCAATCCTCTTAGGCCAAATAAGGCAGCCTAAACCCTAAACCCTAAACCCGGAGGGAAATATATAATGTCCCAAAGGCCTACCTCGAGAAACAGTAGTTCCGTAAACTCCCCCCCAGACGAAGGATAACTCTAAACCCTGAACCCTAAACCCTATAAAATCCTACTAAACTCCCTGGGCATCCTGGGCATTGGGGTGGTGGAGCTTTACGCAAGGCCCCGCAACAAGCCTAAAATCCAGAACCCTAAACCCTAAACCCCAAACTAGAATAACCCTAAGCCCTAAACCCCTAAACCCTAAACGCCCTCTTAAGGAACCCTGAAAGGAAACCTCACGGTACTTAACGGAGCCCTTGCAGGCACCCCCTCCTAAACCCTAAACCCTAAACCCTAAACCCTAAACCCTAAACCCTAAACCCAAACCCCTCCTGGTTCGTGGGGCTGTTGTTCTCCTCGCAGCTATTGCCTTTCATGCTCTTGGCATCAAAGAAGCCTCGGAGGAAAGGAACCCTAAACCCTAAACCCTAAACCCTGAACCCCTAACCCCTAAACCCTAAACCCTAAACGCTAAACCCTAAACCCTAAACCCTAAAGCCTAACCCTCCAGGTACCTACTATAAAGGATCCTAGAGGCTCGAGTACCCTTTATAGTAGGTGCCTGCAGGGTTTGGGGAATGCGTGTGGATCTCAGGTGTTTTGGGTACGTGTGGTTTAGTTGCTTCAGGTCAGCGGGCAAGGGGTTTTGGGATTTAGGCTTTCGGGTAAAGACCCAGGCTCCTGTACTAGAGCTTTTGGACCAGAAGCCTGAACACAGGGATCCGGCCTAATACATGGCAAGCTTTTCGGGTATCTTATGCTAGAACTAGAAAGGGTATACGTTCAGCAATGTTAAACAGACCCCTGAATTATAAGAGCCTCCTCATAAGAACCCTTCAAAACCGTAGAATGCGTAGAATGCTGCCCTCAACCCTCAACCTTAAAGCCTACACGCCTCAACCCTCCGTCAGCCCG